ACAGAAGAAAGATGGCCCTGTGAAGACAGAACCAGAGATTGGAGTGCTGCAGCTATCAGCCAACAAATGCCAAAGATTACTGGCAACCACCAAAGGCTAGGAAGAGGCAAGGAGGGGTTCTTCCCTAGAGCCTGCAGAAGGGACAAAGCCCTGCACCTTGATTGCAGCCTTCTAGCTTCCAGAACTGTGAGAGAATAAACGTCTTGTTATGTTAAGCTGCTACATTAGTGGTCATTTGTATGGCAGCCCTAGAAAACTACTGTAACCTATTAGATACAAGTAGTAACCTCCTCCATTTTGTGACCTCCAGAATGTCTGCAGACAAAGCTAGATGTCCTGGGGAGGGTAAAAGTCAGCCCCACCTGATGTTTGAACAGAATGTAAGCCTTCTCAAAGAGTAATCTAGTGGGTGAGACATTCAACAAACCCATAGTCTTTAGAAAGAGCAGAAATCCTAGTCAAACCTTGGGGATTTTATTTTTTAAGAGTTTTATTTGGCCCAAGTTTCACTGTTAAAATATCTTAATGGCTATGTAGAGGTAGTTTGAAACAAGAGTTTTCACACTGCCCTTCAAAATATATTTTATTGCAATAATCATATTTAAAAGAGAAGAAAGGACCAATTTGCTTATATTTCAATGTGACCAAGTTTTAAAAACAGTTTTACAAGGCTATGTAAACGTGCATACTGTTCGTCATTAAGCTTTTTAATTGTTCTACAGTTTTTTGTTTGTTTTTGCTTGTCTAAAAATGGCCTTTTTGTCCAATGGTTCTGATTCTATGTAGGAAAAAAAGGAGTTCCCTGTTTGCTTTTTTTTTTATCTGTCCCTGACTTAGAAAGTCTGACTTATAAATGTCCCCATCAGGAATTTATTTTCTCGTCAAACTTTGACAAACTCTCTCTGGCTTATAGTGTATGGGAATCAATATAGCTTTATTCTCCCCTTCTTTCTACTATTGCTGTTACAGACAGGGGATAAGAATACCATATTCTGTGGGGCGCCTGGGTGGCTCAGTCGGTTAAGCGTCCAACTTCAGCTCAGGTCACGATCTCACAGTTCATGGGTTCAAGCCCCACATTGGGCTCTGTGCTGACAGTTCAGAGCCTGGAGCCTGCTTTGGATTCTGTCTCTCCCTCTCTCTCTCTGTCCCTCCCCCACTCATGCTCTGTCTCAAAAATAAATTAAAAATGTTAAAAATTTAAAAAAAAGGAATACCATATGCCTCAAATCCTGAAGTAGAAGTCTAAAAGCACTGTTTATTAGAAATATTGGTAATTGGATATTTTAATGCTATAGTTTAGTCATATCATGGCTCAAATGGCTTTTGCAATTTGGCATGGGATCTCATGGTTATATATAGTGTTGCTTCCATGAGGAAATATACTCTGAGTTCCAAACCTCTGTTTTATAAATAGTACATATTATCCATTCCTAGGTTATAATCTTTTTGCAGTTGGGCTGCACCTTATAATGCTGTGTATCAGAGAATGCTAAAATTAAGATTTATTAAAAATAATGTTATTATGCGTATTGATAGCAATCAATACATTATATGGAGGAGAGAGAAAAAGAGAATGATATTTATCCTAATAATGATTTTTACTTACACCTTTCTCTAAACGAAGTCCTTCCAAGATTGTAAAAAATAATAAAGAGATTTGGGGGGATTCAGAGAAAATTGCCTATTCTTAAACAGAGATATGGTTGAACTTATTTTCTGATTTAGATGAAAGCAAATCTTAAGACCCAATGCAGTGTTCTCCTCTTTTTTTTTCTTTCCAATCTAAATGGAGCTCCAGAATTAAATATGTAAAAATGTTACCTTAATATTTTAAGTGGAAATTATAGCATGTTTATTTCATTTAAAAATGTTAACGCATAAATTATAAACCCATCTAGCAATGTCTATTATAAAATGTACTATGTGAAAGATATGTAAATAGAGACTATTTTGCTGTTTTGCATGAATCTAATAATAGGTGGAATTGGGATGTTATTTAGTTCTTTGATGCGACATCCTCATGCCCCATCACCCTTGCAGATGGAGAGAAATCCTTAATCTTTAGAAAAACTATTAGATGTTATTCTTCTACATGTCATTTTTGCCACTACCTGTAAAAGAATGCCGAGTGGAAAATCTCCAGCAATGATTAAGAAGGGGGTAAGCAGCATACCTTGAGGAATATATTCTATGATCTTGGCACCCTCACTCAATGTTATACAACTTTTCTGATCCTTCCTTTTTCCTCCATGAAATGAAAGCCCAGGTAACAAGTCAGAGGCAGAACTTGGATTAGGATACAAAATTTCTGCCTCTCCACTTTGAATTTCTTTCTGTGACTCAGCCTAATCCTTTCGGGGAAGTATTCAAACCACATCTGCCTAACTGTCATGCCAATTTCCTTTAAACATCAATCTCAGCTGAATCAGCCTCCTGCCAGTGTCCTCCTACTGAAAGCAATAAGGTTTACATTCCCACTTTTTTTTGATTAAAAAAATCTCTTGGCTAAACAAAGGACTCTCACTTTTACTATTCTCACACCTTCCGGAGACTGCCCTCCCTTTTCCCACTCGAGAAATTTGTGTACCTTGCCTCTTACAGGGAGTTTTCCCAAGGCAAAACATCACAAGAGTTACATGTGTTCTTTTGCACTTGGGCTTGTTCAGTGGAATCCAGAGTCTGATCAAGATAAACGCTTTAGAAGGGGATGTAAAGTTAAGATACAGGTGGTGGCTGGTTTATGAATGGCCGTACTTATAATATATGGACTGGCAGTGGGAGGTGGTCACAACAGCTAGCACATCCTGAAGCTACCCAGACTTCCCTACTCTTAAATCCTGGTTTTTCTTTTTCCTCCTATTCCTTCAGCTTCTGTATGCTTGGATTTCACGCACACCAAGCCTAGACCTCTCTTCTCTTCTTATTCAGATACAGGTGGGCTCTTCTATCCAGGTCCTGATACTGAGAAATGACAAAATGACCCCACTCTCTAAGCTTGTCTCTTTGGCATTATCTCCACCACCAAAATGCCTTAAAAATGTAAATCCATCTGCACACTCTGCAGCCTACATGCCAATTTGGGAACTACATAGGCTAGTTATAGTCAGTACTATGAATGGGTGGCACTCTGAAATTTTAATGACTTTCAATCACAAATTGTGGGCTTAATCAATATTAATATGATCCATGTCGCCCTGTAGGGACCAAGTTTACTCAGCTTCATAGTCCTTACCAGCATCAAGCATGTATCAGGTGCTCTACATATTTACTTGTTTAAGGGAAATAAGAATAAGAAGTAAAACACTTTTTCCAGCTTATATCACATTCTTATTGCTGTTGGTGGTATGAATAATACTACTACTAATACTAATAAATGATATTTCTCAAATTTCTCATATCATTTATTAGTATTAATGATATTATCAAAGGATTATGGGCTTTTTTAGGCGTAAAGAATGTGGTGGGAACCCTCACAATTGCACTCAGCTCTGCAGTAGTCTAGGCCAAGAAAAGAGAACTCCCGAGGAAGGAAGCAAAAATATCCAAGTTGATGTTTTGCAAGTTTCACAGAACAGATGATATAGAACAGCTCATTCCTTCCCATCCGCACCCTCCTGGCTTCTGATCCATAAGTCAATTGCATCCGCCTTCATCTTCCTGAAATATTTTCTCTTAAATACAGGGAAGTGAGCTATGCCCAAGAATGGAAAAAACAATATTTTTTAAATGAGAAGAATGATGATAAGAGCCTTTTGGCTGTGTGTGTGTGTGTGTGTGTGTGTGTGTGTGTGTGTGTGTGTGTGTTTGAGAGAAATAGGGAAAGAGAAGGGGGGAGAGAGAGAGAATATAAATGAATCAATATTAGATGTACATAGAAGAAATGTTTTGTATTCCTGATAGCCCAGTGAGAAACTCAGGGCATATTTTCCTATATAATCATTGTCAGAGGGTGGTATGATTTACATATTAATTTCATTAAAGGATTAAGGAGGAAGTACATTCTACCTTCCAAAGCTGCACTGAAGTGATCAAGCCTTTGGAGCACAGCTTGTTGGAGAGCTAGGTTCTGCTAGGTAGATTTTTTATTAGGCAATATTGGAAAAGCTATCTGTAAGCTGAAGCCACAAAAGTGATCTGACTTTGATAATATTTTTCATGTGAGCAAGAAAGGAACTGGAAACCTAATCTTGCACTAGGAGTAAGTTTCTGAGCAGAGTATTAAGAAAGTGAAATAAAAAAAGGCTCAGGTTTAATTTAAATTGAATGAGATGTTTAAAGAATGCAGCCCAGACTACAGTCATAAATAATCCTTTTTCCGTTTTCTGACATACTTGATAGAGTTGGGGTGGTTTTCATGGGAGGTAAGTTCAGGTGCCTTAAAGTCAAAGAAACAGTAGCCAGAATATACTCTCGAGGAGAGTGAGCCAGATGGAAATGGAAACTTTTATCTTCAAAAGTTTTCAAAAGATGAAAGAAGTGACAGAGGAACACCAAAAGTCAGTTTGGTAGACGGCTGCTGGGTCTGTAGCTGGAAGACAAACAGCAGAAACCTTCACTGTACATTCATTGTATCTTCTCTCCTCTTTTTATGCCCTTTATTATGTTTGTTCACTCATCTTCTTTCTGCCTCTTCATGTCTGTCTTTTTTTCTGCTACTCTTATCTAATTCCTCAATGTCTTCATTTATGTTTTAGAAAGAAACTACAGATGGTCAGCTAAGACAATGACTTTTTTATAAAGTCACTTGATATAAATCAGTAGGGATTTTTCAGTAAAAAAAAACACAAAGAACAGAGAAAAAGTTGAAAATTTGGTCACATTTAATAGCTCAATATATTTCTGAACCTCTGGGATCATATGAGACCTAGTTCATTGGAGCTTCCTGAAACATTGTTTTTCATTAATAGTATACAATATAGCATTTTAGCTGTTACACACCAGTTTGTTGTTATTTCTTCTTGATAATAATATGTAATCACCCGTTCTTTTTCTTACAGCTTCACCTTTTACCAGTCTACCCACACAAGAAGAAATGACGACAAAGAATTCTAACCTTTCCTTGACGACAAAGTATTCTAACCTTTCCTTGGAGAGTCCTAACATATCACTGACTGGTAAATGTATCTCATTTCAAATAATACAGTGCCCCCCAAAGTTTTTATTTTTAATTAAGTGACTGCATTTTGCCTGGTGAAGTATTCATCCCTGCTCATGGTCTGATGGGAGAAACACAGCAATACCTCACCCAATTAGAAGAGAGCACGTAGGAGTCTAATGCAAAGAGGGCAGATTGCTTCGTGTTCAGGGAGGGGGCAGCTGGTCAGACGTGGGAAGGTTAAGGAGACTCTAGAAGAGGGATGCCAGAGAAGAAGGGAAGGTTCCATCTGGTTGGCAGATGGTCTTATGTTTTCATCAGTTCTTGCTGGTGCGTCCATTCAAATCTCTGCATTGAGGGGAGAGTTCGGGCCTCTCCCGGAAGAGCTTTAGGCAGAGAAATGAAAGATGCTATCAGATGAGTCAATGACAGTGCTATGAAAAAATAACTAAAGTACTGTTTTGTCTTGATAATAATATGTAATCACAAGTTCTTTTTTCTTACAGCTTCATCTTTTACAAGTCTACCCATCAGAGAAAAAATGACGACAAAGTATTCTAACCTTTCCTTGGAGAGTCCTAACATACCACTGACCGGTAAATGTACCGCATTTCACATAATACAGTGCACCCCCCCCCTCAAGTTTTTATTTTTAACTGACTGCATTTTGCCTGGTGAAGTATTCATCCCTGCTCATGGCCTGATGGGAGAAACACAGCAGTACCTCACCCAATTAGAAGAGAGCATGTAGGAGTCTAATGCAAAGAGGGCAGACTGCTTCGTGTTCAGGGAAGGGGCAGCTGGTCAGATGTGGGAAGGTTAAGGAGACTCTAGAAGAGGGACTTCTAAGAAGAAGGGAAGGTTTATTCTGATTGGCAGATAGTCTTATGTTTTCATCAGTTCTTGCTGGTGCGTCCATTCAAATCTCTCTGCATTGAGGAGGGGTCTGGGCCTCTCCTGGAAGAGCTTAAGGCAGAGAAATGAAAGATGCTATCAGATGAGTCAATGACAGTGCTATGGAAAAATAAGTGAAGTACTGTTTTGTCTTGATAATAATATGTAATCACAAGTTCTTTTTTCTTACAGCTTCACCTTTTACAAGTCTACCCATCAGAGAAGAAATGACGACAAAGTATTCTAACCTTTCCTTGGAGAGTCATAACATATCAGTGACCGGTAAATGTACCACATTTCGAATAATACAGTACCCAAAGTTTTTGTTTTTGATTAAGTGACTGCATTTTGCCTCCTGAAGTATTCATCCCTGCTCATGGTCTGATGGGAGAAACACACCAGTACCTCATACAATTAGAAGAGAACATGTAGAAGTCTAATGCAGAGGGCAAACCGCTTCGTGTGCATGGAGTGGGCAGCTGGTCAGATGTGGGAAGGTTAAGGAGACTCTAGAAGAGGGATGCCAGAGTAGAAGGGAAGGTTCCATTTGGTTGGCAGATAGTCTTATGTTTTCATCAGTTCTTGCTGGTGCGTCCATTCAAATCTTTGTGCATCCTGGAAGACCTTTAGGCAGGGAAATGAAAGATACTGTCAAATGAGTCAGTGGCAGTGCTGTGGAAAAATCAAGTGTTCTGTGCGGAAACTCAGCTTTGCTTTCTTTTTCTCAGTTTTGGATTCCAGTATTTCAAAAGTAATCTCAGATTTTTAAATTAGTAAGAGTAGTTGTCTGTTTTAGTAACAATGTTAAAGGTATAACTAGAATTAAAATAATGTTAACCCATTTATTGGGTCAGTAGCATATTTTATCCAATTACCTGTTCAGTCTTTAACTGTCCTTTTGTCTGAAGAACAGTCTTCTCTTTTTCTCCTACGAAAAGTATGCTTCCCACATCTCCCATCTGATACCAAAGGAATGTTTGCACTGACCTTTTTTGGAGAACCTTTGTTATGACTTTGTACAGCTGTTTGTTCTCAGTCTTTATTCCAGTATTTGGAGTTTATCCCTAACTGTAAAAAGTAATTGCAACATTTTTGTGTTGTTACCTAATTTTTTACTTTTTACGTGTTCTACTTGTTGATTTTCTTTGTCAGATGAAATGTTTCTTTAAGAGAGATCCATATGAGAACCTAAGTTTGCAAATCCTTCGACTAGCCAGGTGATGTTGGCAACAGCACACCCCTCACTTACCCAGTAAGGACTCTGAGAAAAAAAGGTGTCTGGGAAGAGAGAAAAAAATGGACTTTTTAGCTGATATCAGGTTATTTACTGGTTATTTACTTACTTAACCTGTTTGAGGGTTTAACTTCTAACTACTCTTTTATTCTAATTCTTCTATTAAAGCCAATATTCCTCCATTATGAAGAGACCAAGCGTCCACAGTTGTCTATTAGTTACCATCTGCCTTGGCTTGATCAAGCTTTAGTCAGACTTTTTGTTCCTCCCAGGCCCCTGAACTTTGGTTTGCCCCACGTCTGAGCAAGCACTAAGTCCTGACTACAGCCGAATCATACCGCTGGCTTCCACCCACCAGTTTGCCTTATTTCCCCTCAAAAGTGCCTGCTGGCCTCTTCCCCCTCCCTGTAAATGAAAAATGTTTTCTCTTTGACTCTGAGATGTTTGCAGACAGATCCCAAGTCTGGAGCGTCTTCCTTACTGCAATAGATTCTTTGAATAAAACCTCTTCTTACATAAATTCAGATTCATTTTTATTTGACAATAAAAAGATTTGACGTTGATCTTGAAACAGTGGATTTCTGAGCTGGTTGTGTTTTCGTGTACGTTGTTCTGGTTCCCTTCCCACCAAAACGTTTGGTCTTCAAGACCGCCGTTACTGAAATATAGAAGTTAAATCTGAAGGTGTATTCATGCTTATGAGGAACCAGAGGCTTTCTTCTTATTGCCGTCACTAGGTTTTTTAATCTACTTTATGAATGGAATGTTTTCATATTGTGGTATTTTTGTGTACTTGAATTGCACTTACGTTTCTATGTTGTCATTATTGTTTTCTCTTTCCCTCAGGCCCTTTTAGAAATCGAGCTCTGTGTTAGGAGATAAAGTGTTTCTCGTAGAGAGATTCAAATATAAAACATTAGTTGCATGTTTTGGACCATTGTGACAACACTGGCTCAGCTCCTAGCATGCTTCCTTACCGAATATGCTAGAGACTGGGAAACACAGGAGCCTGTGCCTGGAAAAATGGAAAACATGACCTTTGATTCATGGAAGCCTGGTCATTTACTTATTTTATGTTTTTAAATTGTTGCCAATTATTTACTTAACAGGCACCTGGGATTGACTACACACAATGTATGTATTTCTGAACGTAACATAGCTTAGTCCTCATAACAACTCTATGCAGCGGGCACTATTACTATTTGCAATTTGCAGGTGAGGAAAAGGAGGCACAAAGAAATCAAGTGAATTGACTGAGGTCCCAGATGATAAGTCGGAGCTTGGTTTTGAATCCAGGAAATGTGCTGTTGGGGTTATGGCTGTTACCCATTATATAAACTGTCTTTCTTAATGCCCATTTATCCATTTCCTTCAACAGTTTTATTAAAACAATTCTACCTATTTTAAGGAAACTTACATTATTTTTGAAACTAAATGAAGTTTCAAAAAGAATGAAAACAAAAATATTTTAATTGCCCTATTCTTAAATATATTTGTCTTAGAAATTGCATTTGTGGAGATAATGATTATATTTGTGAAAGTATAATTGACTAAGAGTAAGGGGGTTTTCCGCCCCCTTTCTGATATCATTGGGCTTTTAAAACTGCTTTTTTGATAATGGACTTTTTTTTTTACATCACTAATTTTCCCCATTGTCAGTATTTGAAATTCATGGTTTGTGTTACAGCAATTAGAGTGTTTTCTTTATTGTTACTTTATTTTTTTCCTTTCTCTCTGCATTTTATAGTGTTTGGTATCTCAATCAGTGTGTCATAGTTTAACCAAAGAGGTTAAAATCAAAGCATCAGCAGGCAGTTTTCTTGACCACCCTTGTAATGTTGGGGGTAGGTTCTCCCTGATGACAAATTTTATTTACCGTGTTGAAACGTGAGCATCAGGCCTGGCAGGGTCCTAGTGAAACTGAGAGTTAGACAAAGCAATCACTAATAGGATAGATATTTAGATTAAGGTATGGAGTGAAATTTGAGAAGACTAATTAAGGTCAGGAGAGGTAACTAGGTTGCCTAGAGCCAGGCAGGCAAGAAGTCAGGGTTAGGAACTCTCAGACCCCAGCAGGGGTAGGTACCTGGTCCATGAGATTGAGAAAAGGGGTTAGGTGTTCAGGAAGACAGAAAAACAAATGGACTTTTTATTTTATTTTATTTCAAATTATTTATTTATTTAAAAAATTTTTTAAGTTTTTTCAATGTTTTTTTATTTTTGAGAGAGACAGATCACAAGCGGGGAGGGAGCACAAAGAGAGGGAGACACAGAATCGAAACAGGCTCTAGGCTCTGAGCTGTCAGCACAGAGCCTGACATGGGGCTCAAACCATCAAACCCACAAACCGTGAGATCATGACCTGAGCACGGGGCTCAAACCCTCAAACCCACGAACCGTGAGATCATGACCTGAGTCGAAGTCAGATGCTTAACTGACTAAGCCATCCAGGCACCTGGAAATGGACTTTTTAGTCAAAAAAGAAAAAGAATAATGAGTCCCTTATATTTGGCTGCTCAGACCCTTTGTGGCAGAGAAGACCCTAGAATGATTCCCAGAAGGTTCAAATGTGTATGATGTTTCCCAGGGGCAGACTACCAGTCTTTACACCTTATGTGGACGCTGCTGCTGATGTATAGACAAAAGCTAAGTAAATATTAACATTCAGAGTGAGAGAAAGATATGGAAGAGGGATCCACCGTAGTGATTTAAATGGCAGTAGCTGCACACATTCACCATGGTTTTTCATTAGCAGAAATAGTGACCTTTTGAGCTGGATAATTCTTTGTTGTGGGAGCAGTGGGGCTATGGGGGGGGGGGGCACTGGAGGATGTTTGGTAGCATCCCTGGCCTCCACCTACTAGATTTGAGTAGCACTCACAAGGTCCTGACAACTGAAAACCTCCCTCCACACAGTGCCACCCACATGTCCCCTGGGGAGGCAAAAATCTACCCAGTTGAGAACCACTGCTCTGTCCCTAAAGTATAGCTGTGTAACAGTACCCCACTCCATCAACATGAGAGGACAAATGATTTAATAATCACGCAGTTATTAACATTGGGTATAGAATTAATGAAAAAGTTAGGGGCGCCTGAGTGGCTCAGTCGGTTGGGCAGCCAACTATGGCTCAGGTCATGATCTCGCGGTTCGTGGGTTCGAGCCCAGCATCGGGCTCTGTGCTGACAGGTAGCTCGGAGCCTGGAGCCTGTTTCCGATTCTGTATATCCCTCTCTCTCTGATGCTCCCCTTCTCACACTTCTCTCTCTCAGAAATAAATAAAACATTTAAAAAATTTAAAAGAAAAGTTAGAAGATGGTGGTGAGGAACCGGCACAGGACATCCCAGCATAAGTGGGAGAGGGAACCTGATCGGATATAATCCCATCTCTTCTCTTGTCTGCTGCTTCCATTCAAATCTTCCCAGTCTTTGAGAATTAAGTCAAAAGCTACATCTTCAATAAGGCACATACAGAGAAGTATTATTTCTGTTTTTCTGATATGTATTTAGCATTTTAAATTAAATTTTAATTACATAAGTAAAAATGAGTTGATTTTTAAAAATACTGAAACATTTTATTTCCAGCAATATAGTAAATTAGAGAATCTGAAAATCCTCCTACCACACCTAGAAAATTTTAAATATCGCAAACATTCTTTTAACTATTAGGTTAAGTACGTAAAAAGCAAAAACAATGTCTGCCAACCAAAACTGGTGACCAGGCATCAAGCTTGTGAACTGATGTGTTAGTTTTCCTTATGTTTGTCCACAAGGCATATGAGTTCTAAGAGCCATAGATCTAAGAACAGGGCCTTGAATCTAGGCAAGGAGGGGAGCTGGAACTGAAAATCCCCAGAAAGCTGATCCTTCCAGAAAGGTGGAACTGAAAACTCCCAGAAGGTGAAAAAAGGTATGGCCTGGGAAGTGAGGAGGGTGAGGAACAACAGTGGATTAGTACCAGGCCATGATGTTAGCCTGGTTTTAGCCTTGTTCTGCATCATAAACAAAGACCCCTGAGTACTCAAAGTCAAGGTCCTACCCTCAGTGAGA